TGTTCCTCCAGCTCCACACTGTTATTTCTGACTCCAGCATCGGCAGTTCTTACTATCTCTGGAGCAGGTAGAACTTGAACCCAGGACATTAGCACTGCACCAAAAGGGTTTCTTTTTTATCTGTCTTACGGTTTCAAAAAGGCCACGGTACACAATTGTGTCGATTCCATTTTGGTGTATTTGCTGTACTTTTCAGTGAATTAATGCAATAAAGAATATACTTGAGGATGAATCAACTTAGCTCTGCAACCCCAGAATGTAGCATCCACAAGACGCGCTGCAGAAACTCAATCCTCCTTTGACAACACCTTCGAAGCCCATGATTTCACCACTTTGAAGAAGTGGAGCAGTAGGTGCATTATAACATCACTTGCAGGTTTCTTTTCAAATTTCACACTATCTGTTCTGAAAATATATTGCCATTGTATGATTGTCACTGGGTCACAATGCTAGAATGCTATACCTACAGCATTGTGGGTGTACCTATGCTATACAGACTGCAGTAGTTTGAGAATATATCTCAACACCATCTTCTCAAGGGCAGTTAGGAATGAGCGATAAATGCTGCCCTTGTTAGTGATGCCTGTAATTAACGATCATTTCTTTTAAAACAAAGTTTCATTACTTCCAATGAAGATGCAGCCCTGGGGGATCCACAGGCCTTCATCCCTATGCCTCCCAACAAATACATATTCCCACGTAGAAGTTATTGTCAAGCTAATCTTACATTTAAGAATAAAAACCAAGAGAACTGCGGATGCTGTAAATCAGGAACAAAAACAAAGTTGCTGGAAAAGCTGAGCAGGTCAGACCTGCTGAGCTTTTCCAGCAACTTTGTTTTTGTTATATTTAAGAATCTTGTACGCTCCTGGGCTAAAATATGTCAAGCTTGTATAATAGTTTCAGATGTCTCAAAAGTTCAGTGAATATACTTTGAAGTCCATTCACTGCATTCTAATGCAATTCTTTTCTGTCCACATCATTTAGTTGAGTTAACAGCCAGCCTGTCTTTTGTGATCTTAGACGAGACAGAAGAAATGTTAGGCAGTGCATGAGCAGATTTCTGTGTCTCTGCTGGAGTACTGTGCTGGAATACTTTACATCCATGAGAACCATGAGTATGAGTGGATGATATAATGACATTTGCATTAATGTTGCACAGCCTCCGTAATACAATTGATTGTCAACTTGGATTAATGGTCATACCTTGGAAAGGCACCTGTACTTTTGTTATTTCGAATGAGAAGTGAAGGGTTGGGTGAGGGTGAAGAAAAAAAAAGAAACAGAAAACACATGCCATGCTTTTTAACTGTTATTGTCAGTTTCTTAACGTTCAAAAATCTTATCTTCCCAATAGTACCCATACAGTTGCCTGTACTGATTTGATGATTAATTCATCTGCACCAGGGTAGAGCGTAACCACTACCTACTTTATGACTTTTGCTAGTTTTCAATCACATTAGTATACATTCCAAACTGTCATACACTGGAGAAATTGTGTGCTCAATGAGAAACACGGATGGACCTATCACATAAATAAAAATGAACAAAGACGTTTGCCCCTGTTCTAACATAGACCCAAATATTTTTCTGCTCACACCATTTAATTGTCTATTTGAAAGACGTCAGAGTATTGCTTCAAATGTCTTAACTGTAAGACATTTTGCACCTTGTATGACCGTCATCAGTCTTAAAATTTTTGTCAGTTTACATCTGTGCTCTCTAGCTCTGCAGTTACTTGAAATAGTCATCAGGTTGGACTTTGTTCTATTTCACTTAGTATCTCATAGTGCCTTTTGAATTTTTAAATGTGTAAGAGGAGGCACTTTCTATTTAGGTACAATACTGCACTAAAGTAGAATAATTAGAAATAAAATTTTTTAAATGTTCAAGTAAAGCTTATATTTCCATGCAGTTTCATCGAGGAGTATCACATTGTCAGATGACAAGTGGCCAATAACAATTTCTGCACAGTAATTACTGCCAGATTGTCATTAAGCTAAACGTAATTTTGAAATGTGGTTATCTTGTGCAGGTAGAAAAATGCAATGTCTCTTACTAGTTATTACAAAGATGCATCTACATAAACAGAGCTGATGGTTTTTTCTTCAAGTTGCAAGCCTAGTAAAATATGTGTAGCCTTCATTTCCTGCTTGAGAGTTTCTGAAACTGTAGTAGCTAAAGACTTGCTAAATCTTGGTACATTTCTCGTAGTAGACAGCTCATATTGTAGCAGAAGGAATTTAAAATAGAATCTGTATTCGCCATCCTTACTTTTAAATCCTTTCATAGTCACACTGCTCCGAGCTCAGTAACCTCTTGCAGCCCTCCAAGACCTATGTACTTTTTGTTTGTTACACACCCTGATTTTCATTACTGACACTTTGATCATGCAAGTATCTATATAGACATTCAGCACTGGAACTCTCTTGTCTAAGCCTCTAAACCTCTCTGCTCCTTTAAGAGCTATTGTCATATGAAACTTTTGACAGCCCATCATGATCTCCTTAGGTCATGTCAAATTTTGTTTGACAACACTCTGAAAAGCACTTTGGGATGGCTTACTACGTTGAATGCACTACTAATTTATAAGTTGTATTTAAAATCTGAAACAACTCTTATTCGTTCTTGCCTTGTTCATAGAATCGTGGAGTATACATGTTTCGCATTGACAGTGATCACGTTATTGATGCAACATTAACAGGAGGTCCTGCAAGGTAAGTGTTTTTGAACATAAAATTGGAGTGAGTCCTCCACTTTATACCCCACTTCCCTTCCTGCTGCCCTAGAAATCTACTTCTTGGTACCGGAGGTGGCTGTTTCTATTTCAATGTAGTATTCTAATTCTTAACGTTCTTCAGGGTTTCCTCGTTCAGTACGTTGTTAGTGCATTGAATACTTTTGTATGAGTTACATATTTTTATCAAAATAAAGTGCTGCCCCCTCCTGCATTTCAACCTTGTAAGTAGCAAGTAGTATTTTGCAATGGGCTCACTTAGAAGGTAGTAAATTTCTCAACATTCTGGTATACAGCGGCCTTGAAGTAAAATTGCCTTTAACCCCTCAAAACTGGACAACAGTATTACTAATGGAGAAAACGGAATCATTTTGGTTTTACCCATAAGAGCAACCAAGAAAAGAAAATGTCATTTGATCTCTCAAAGTTCATCTCCTATGTCAATCCTCTGAAAAAAGCATCCAGTTAAACTTTAAATATCCCTCAGAATGCTTATTTTGACTGCCCAGCTGGAAGATGAGCCCAAAATATTTGCAATTCCTAGAAGTTTGGAGATGATTATCTGTATCATAGTGCTGCAAGTTAAAATTAGAAAATTGTAGACCATCTCTCACACGCACATGGTTACATATGCGCGCGTGCACACATACACGTGCTCTCGCTCACTCTCACTCACTGATGTAGATCAGTTTCTCTTTCCTCCTCCAGTGAGAAAATTTAAGTCCCAAGAAAAGAGGGTAACATCAGCCTCAAGGTCCTTACAATGTCTGCTTCTACTCAAGTTACAGAATAATGGTTATAATCCACAAACTGATCTTCTATATCCTGTGATTTGTCCACATTGTGTGAGGGGGAGGTTTGCTTTTGATTAAATATTTTGCAGGCTAGTTCCCTATCCTGGATATCGAAGCCAGTCCCAGTTTTAAGGCTACCCATAATGTGTTTACTGCCAACCTGCTTTGTAAGTAGAAATATGATTAATACTTGATGGATGAGAATTGAAACAGGGTCTTGAAACTTTCCTTGGTAATCACATCTGAAGTATCTGTTTTCTGCTCCAGTAATAATGACCACCATAGATGACACAATAATTCGTACAGTAGCACTTGTACAAGGTTGTGCCCCAACAATCAGAGTATGGCTGACCACTGTCTGTTGCTAGTTGACCCTGAAGCTTCGATAGAGTTTGTTTTATCCAATTCACCTGGTACCTCTTTCGTTCTTGTAAAATGCAGTCACACTATCTCCAGAAGGCATGACTTCTAACCTTCCCCCTCAAAATGGTCCATTGACTCTAGTCACAGCCATGCAGCACTTTGACTTGCGTAGAGCAGACCTGGTCTCACTTTTTAGTGGCTGAACGATAACTCCAATCCAGCGGTATTGACAAACATTTCCTTGGTTCTTAAATAATGCAAGGATATTTGGTCTGCTGGTCTGTTTCTCTCCTGAATTAGGCAGCTGGTGTGGTGTTGAGGACAGAAGAAACATTCCCCATTTAGCAACATTATTCACTTAATGATGAACACAGATGGGGATTCAAGTCCAATTGGGGTTAGTCATATATATACTTTTACTAACTTCCTCTCCCTTCAGGATTCAATTTCTCAACATTAATGTGGAAACTACATTTATGTGAAGCGACAGTGCCACAGTAGCTTTACCACAATAGGGTCAGCCTAATAAATTACAAGTATCTCCCAAAATGTGGAGAGATCATTTTCATTAATTTAATTGTTCATGTCGTTCCATATAAATTCGACTTAAAAGCAGTGAGGGAAGATGTATAGTGCACAGTTTTGGAATAAAAACACCTTGGCCTAGATCTTTGGATGGCCAGATAATAGTTTTTGAAGCGTAGATAGGAGTTGTGCATTGGGATCCTGGAGAATCTCAAGTGCACAAGAGTCATAGCAAACATAAGTTAACTGCTTCGCCGTACACAGATGCTGAGTTCCTCGAATATGCTGTGTTTGTTTCAAATTTCCAGTATCTGCAATATTTTGCTTTTATTCGAGTTTTGGTTTAAGAACCAACCACAGCTTGAAGTTCATGTTTATACATTTATAGTAGCCTGATCAGTATTTTAGTAAGATTTGGTTACTGAGGCACTCTGAATTTTCTTTCATAGGCATAAATCATTTCTGGTAACCTGACGTGCATTATAATCTCTCTTAGATATATTAATCATTCCTGTGCACCGAATTGTGTGGCTGAGGTGGTGACCTTTGAGAAAGGACACAAAATAATCATCAGCTCCAACCGTAGGATTCAAAAAGGAGAGGAGGTAGGTCCATCTCTTCAGCAAACTACATTATTTAGACTGCATCGCGCTCTACAGTGTATAAACTGACTAATGCTTCTGAGAAATAAAATCAAGCCAATGCTGCATTTGTATTAGCTTCTAGAGGTAACGTGTTACTGAGTTAACTGTCATTTATCATCGGTAACCACGAAGAAGCAAATTCTGACTTATAACTATAGTTTGGCATATAATTTTGTTCAGTGAGCAATTGAGCTCCTATTTGATAAGCACACATCAAGTCGTTGGTGAAGATAGGCCTTTCAAGCACAAACCATCCAGAACCCATTGTATAAGACCGTTACCTTTAGGAACAAAATCAGGCTATTTGGCCCATCGAGTCTGCTCTGCCATTTGATCATGGTTGATAGGTTTCTCAAACTCATTCTACTGCCTTCGCTCCCTGATTTTTGATTCCCTTACGAATAAGAATCTATCTGTCTCTGTCTTAAAAATACTCAGTTACAACTTCCACTGCCTTTGCAAAATGAGTTCCATCGATTCACCACCCTCTTACTGAAGAAAGTCCTCCTCATTTGCAATTCCAAAAGGTCATACCTTCATTCTGAGGCCATGCTCTTGCGTCTTAGTCTCTCCTACTAGTGGCATCATCTCCACATCTACTCTGTATAGGCCTCGCGGTGTTCTGTACTCCTTGCAAGCTCCCTACAGCAGATCTAACTAACATTTCTTATTAACCATTCTACATTTAAATTCTAAAGCTGAAAAAAATCACCAATAATGTTTCTTTTACCTGTATACCTCTGTCTAAGTCTTTTTGATCTGTACATCCTTGCTTACTATGATCTGCCTGTGCTACTTGTAAACAAAACTTTTCACTGTACTTTGGTATGTGACAGTAAATCAATCTATCAATCAGTGAAAGTTTCAATAAGCTTTTCCCTCATCCTTCTAAACTCCATCAAGTACGGACGCAGAGCCTCAATTGCTCCCCATATGACAAGCCCTTCATTCTCGGGATCATTCTTGTCAACATCCTCTGGACTCCCTGCAAGGCTAGCACATCCTTCCTTAGATAAGGGCCCTAAAACTGCTCACAATATTCCAAATTCAGTCTGACCAGACCCTTATACAGCTTCAGCAGTACATCTCTGATCTTGTATTCTAGCCCTCTTGAAATAAATGCTGACATTGCATTTCTCTTCCGAACTGCCACATGAACCTGCATGTTAACCTTAGGAGAATCCTGAACTAGGACTCCCAAGATCCTCTGTTTGATTTCTAAAGCCTTTCCCCATTTAGAAAATAATCTGTGCCTTTCTTCGTCCTTCCAAAGTGCATAACCTCACGTTTTCCTACATTTGTCTTCCATCTGTCACTTCTTTGCCCACTTTCCTAACCTATCCAAGCCCTTCTGCAGCCTCCCTACTGCGTCAACACTCCCTGACATC